GAGATAGATTCTTCTGAGGACATTCTAGAATCTGATTTAACAGATTTTGATGAGTCCCTGACACTCATGACTAAGTCATTTAGGAGGTTCGCCAGTAAGAGCAGCTTTCGCAGATCTCCTCAGCTATCCTTCAGGGAGAAGCCAAAGTCTGAAAGAATAGACAAGGCTTCAGCTGTCTACTACAACTATCACCGGCCCGGACATTTTGCAGGTGAATGCAGATCAAAGAAGACTGCAACGCCATTTTCTAAAACTCATTCCTCCTTTAGGACCAAAGATGAAAAGTACTTAAAACTAAAGGAGAAGTACAAGAAGATGAAGAACATCTAGCGAAAGGGTAAAGGCCTTATTGCTGAAGAACATGACTGGGCTGAATCATCCGATGAATCATCTTCGGATGAAGAGGATAAAGCCTATGTCTGCATGATGTCTATAGATGCAAATGAAGAATCTTCTGAAGCATCTACATCCTCTGAGCCATCACCTTCTTCTTCTTCTACTCAGGTATGCTTCCTGAATGAACCATCTTCCTCTTCTAGTCTTTCTGCACTGGATACGCTGACGGTTGACCTTTACAATGCCCTCAATGGCAAATCAAAAGCTGAAATGCTTAACGTTGATCTTCAAGAGCAATTGAAGATTTCATTCTAAGATCAAAGAACTAACCTCTGTTGAGGAAAATCTTAAAAATCAGGTTATTGTAAACCAAGTCATCACTGTTGAACGTGAGAAAGATGTCGTTGAGCGTGAGCGAGCTATCGCTGAACTCAAAGTTGAGAAAGCTACCATTGAAGGGTGGTGAAAAGCTTCCCTCAAGGCCTCTGAGATCATTAACGCTCAGATCCCGGCCAAGAAAACGACTGGTCTAGGATTATCCTATGATCAGGAAGAATGTTTTAAAGACAGGTCCATGCTTAAATTTGGTACATTCGTCTCTTCTATTCCTAACATTTCTTCCTCTCAGTCCTCTTCTTTTACTGAGAGTTATCTTGAAGGAACTCCTTTGAGTTATGGGTGCAAAGACAAAGGTAAATCCATTGTCACAGCATCCCGTCTTAAGAAGTCTAACAAGTCTAATATATCTAAATCTATTCCTTCAACTTGCAAAACTTCTTCTTCTTCTTCTTCACGGACTAAGAAATCTGAATCACATCAGAAATCTAAGTCACAGCTCAAGGTGAACTTTTCATCTAAGGAATCCAATTCCTCAAAGGTTCCTCCTAGAACTAATGAGAAGGGAATTCTTGGAGCTGGTCCCACTTCTAGTCTGATACTTCCTAGCCCTAAAGCTACTCCTAGTTTTAGGAAGTGTAAACACTGTGGTGAAATAACACATGTTGCCAGTAGGTGTCCTTCTGCCGTCAAAACTGGTTCACCAGCTTTGTGCAAGAAAGTAACCAAGGCTGAGAAATCAACTAAAGTGAAATCATCCACAAAGG